GAGTCCTCGTCCGATCCCGAAGTAGCAGAGTCACTTGACTTGGATTCTTCATCTTTAAGTTCTTCTTCCGGCCCAAGCTGACGTCTCAAAAATTCCTTAGCTTTAAAGATGGAGTCAATCTTCTCTCTTTTATCGTTGACTTTAAAAATTACACCTTCAGGAATCGCCCACCTGTACTGAATTCCATTAGTTTGAAGAAATGAGATCAATTCCTTGTAGCCTTTCCTCTTTTGACGGATTTCAAATGGGATATCCTTTAAAGTCTTTATGATTGTATTCCCAATTTTCAGTGGATTTGCCGAAGTTGCCTTTAATACCGCATCTCTGGTCTGTCTTCTTGCGAATCTCACCACAATCTCTCCAGGCAGGTTATTTTTTCTGATATAATTAGAGTATGCCTATCTACTCTACTTCATCCGCTGATATACCTGTTACTGGAGCGATGATCTCTCCCAGAGTCTTCTTTAAATCTTCTTTTTCAATTTCAGGCACCCCCTGAAATCTGAGAGTCAAGTTAGCCTTTTCCATTTGAAGCGGTAACAAACGAGTTTCCTGAAGTTTTTGTGTTGTTTCCACATCCGTCACTCTTTTCTTCATCTTCTTATTTGCGATATCCATCTCTGTAATTTTCACAGTTGCATGCTCCCCTTTCTTCTCTGTTTCTGCCAGCTGGCGCTGCTGCAGAGCGAAGTTTTGGTTTAGTGTGGCCAATTGCCGGTTAATACCACCGAGTTGCTCCATTACCGGCTTCAGCATATCCGCTAGCAACTTCATAACGTCTGCTCCCTCTTCTAGTCTTGGGCTCTGACTGCCTAGTTTCGGTTTTAACTTTCCTCAGGAAGCCGCCATATTCCACTTTGTTTACACTTCCAAACCACTATGCCAGGACTCGAAAGACTCATTGTTTCACTATCGGTACTCAAGTAAGTCTCGCAGAAAAAACTTGCTGTTTATTTCCCCCCTTCCCCCTTCGCTACATTAGTCCATTCATGCGCTTAGGAGGCGTCACTCCTTATGCACCGCTTTTCCCACGGGGGGGGGGTACTCCGTTTTAATAAAATTGTCAGTTTATTTCGAACTCACGTTCATTGTTGGTCATATCTTGACCCCGCTCTCTTCATACGCTATTCTGCTCGATCTCCTGTGCTTGTCCCGGTTAGATTGGCTTGTACCCTAAGGTCACCCATCAGCTGGACCATCGGGGTGGAGGGAAGCCTCTATTCTCTGGCATCAAGCCATCGAAGAGGCTAAACATCAAGAGCCCCCCTGGCCTGGAACCCTTCACAAGGGCTCCGTGGGGGTGCCACTTCAGGTGGCACCCCTCCAAGCCGAGGGTGTGCTAGTCGCCTCCTCGAGCATCGAGGAGAGCGACCGCCATCGCCGATCCATCCACTGGAAGTCCCTGGTCTCCCAGATCCTAATCTGACATTCTAACCCAGAGGTCCCCAGCCTTAAGAACATAAGAACATAAGAGAAGCCAATGTTGGATCAGGCCAATGGCCCATCCAGTCCAACACTCTGTGTCACACAGTGGCCAAAAATACCAGGTGCCATCAGCCTGCAGGCACATTTGTAATTCTGACATGGTGTGGTGGCAGCAGCAATAAAATAGTTGCCACAGGAGGTGGAGCCAGCCATAAAATCATTGCCACAGCTTAACTTCAATAATACAGTATAGATTCTTGAGCTGTGGTAGCAGGTGCTGCCAAAAAACATTTTAAAGAGAGCCAGTTTGG